GCCCACCCATTCCCAGCAGTGCCCCCACCTGTGATCAGCAGTGCCCCCACCTGTGATCAGCAGTGCCCCCACCTGTGCCACTCTGCAGTGCCACCTACCTGTGCCCAGAAGTGCCACCTACATGTGCCCAGCAGTGCCACCCACCTGTGCCCACCCACCTGTGCCCACCAGTGCCACCCACCTGTGCCCACCAGTGCCACCCACCTGTGCCCACCCACCGGTGCTGTCCACCAGTGCCACCCACCAGTGCCGTCCACCAGTGCCACCAGTCAGTGCCCAGGGGTTGTGACAGTCAGTGCCGCCAGTCAGTGCCCAGAAGTGATGCCAGTCAGTGCCGTCTATCAGTACCCATCATCAGTGCCGCCTATCAGTGCTGCATATCAGTGCCGCCTATCCGTGACCCCTAATTAGTGCTGTCTATCAGTGCCGCCTATCCGTGCCACCTCATTAGTACTGCCTATCAGTGCCCTTTAGTGCTGCCTATCAGTGCCCATCAGTGCCGCCTATCAGTGCCCATCAGTGCCGCCTCATCAACGCAAATCAGTGAAGGAGAAAAAATACCTGTTTGAAAAATTTTATAAAAGAAACAAATAAACTTTTTTTTTTCAAATTTTTTGCACTTTTTTTAATTTATAGCGCAAAAAGTAAAGCGCCCAGTGGCGATTAAATACCACCAAAAGAAAGCTCTATTTGTGAGAAAAAAATGATCAAAATTTCATATGGGTACAATGTTGCATGACCGCGCAATTGTCAATCAAAGTGCGGCAGCGCTGAAAGCTGAAAATTGGCCTGGTAAGGAAGGGGGTATAAGTGCCTGGTAGGCAAGGGGTTAAGGGTGTGCACACTTATGCTACCAGATTATTTTAGTTTTTTTTATTGTTACCCCCCCTAAAAGATTTCAGTTTGTCTTTCAATTGAATTGTACAGTTTCTAGGTCACATTAAAAATCTGAAGAATATATTTTAACAATATATATTTTTTTTAAATACATTCTTCAGATTTTTTTGGGCGTATGCAATATATTTCAAAATATATTTCAATATATATATGTGTATATATACTGCATGATAAAATACATTTTTTATATATAACAAAAGATATGAAAAACATTTTAAAAAATACATTTTTTTAAAACAGATTCTTCAGGTTTTTTTTAACATATAAAAAAGTCATTTTAACATATATTTTTTTTTACATATATCCGTAAATGCATTATAAAAAAAATGCAGATTTGTATTTTTAAAGACATGCAGTATATTTGAAATGTATTTAAAAAAAATATTTTTCATACATTTTGTAATAATAACGAATTTCAACATGCAGTGTCTATATATGTATTTATTTATTTATTGAAATATATTGAATACGGCCAAAATTGTAGCATTTCAAATATATGTCAATATATTTGGGAAGAATATTTATAAAATATATTTCAAATATATTTCTTCTTCCATGTGGGTGAGGATGAGAGATGATGGCTCTCCATGGTGTGAGGTTTTCCATGTCCTATTACCATTTTCTTTTTCAGGTTTGTCTCTGCTGGTTCACTTTAGAACATAAATATTGGTCATACCCAAAGCCACAAGAGCCATCACAAAGCTCTACCAGACTCGGCACTGAGAACAGCTAGCTGACCACGTCTGGGTCAAACTCATATTAATGAAAATGAGAACATAGTCATCTTACTGAAACAAAGCAGGAAGGAAGTGGTACTGAACAGTAACCCCCACCAAAAAAAGGCTAAAAAAAAACAAAATGCAAGAAACAAAATGTTCCTCAAAATGAGCCGGCCATATTTTTCGGATTTTTTTATAATTTTAGCAAGAAGTAAAACATGCCTCTGTATCCATTCTGCAACCATCACCAAGCTTCTCCCATCTGGAAGTCCAAATGCTTTTGGTAGAATGTTTAGAACCCTATTCCTCCTCCAGGTTAGGAATTTTCGGGCTATTAACCCCTCGCCTACCAGGCACTTATACCCCCTTATTTACCAGGCCAATTTTCAGCTTTCAGCGCTGCCGCACTTTGATTGACAATTGCACGGTCATGCAACATTGTACCCATATGAAATTTTGATCATTTTTTTCTCACAAATAGAGCTTTCTTTTGGTGGTATTTAATCGCCACTGGGTGCTTTACTTTTTGCGCTATAAATAAAAAAAGTGCAAAAAATTTGAAAAAAAAAAAAAAAGTTTCTTTGTTTCTATTATAAAATTTTTCAAACAGGCATTTTTTTCCCCTTCACTGATGTGCGTTGATGAGGCAGCACTGATGGGCACTGATAGGCGGCACTGATGGGCACTGATAGGCGGCACTGATGGGCACTGATAGGCAGCACTAAAGGGCACTGATAGGCAGTACTAATGAGGTGGCACGGATAGGCGGCACTGATAGACAGCACTAATGAGGTGTCACGGATAGGCGGCACTAATATGCAGCACTGAAAGGCGGCACTGATAGGTGACACTGATGATGGGTACTGATAGACGGCACTGACTGGCATCACTGCTGGGCACTGACTGACGGCACTGACTGGCACAACCCCTGGGCACTGACTGGTGGCACTGACTGGCAGCACTGCTGGGCTGAACTGGTGGGTGGCACTGGTGGGCAGCACTGGTGGGTGGGCACAGGTGGGTGGCACTGGTGGGCACAGGTGGGTGGGCACAGGTGGGTGGCACTGCTGGGCACAGGTGGGTGGCACTTCTGGGCACAGGTGGGTGACACTGCAGAGTGGCACAGGTGGGTGCACTGCTGGGCACAGGTGGGTGATCTGCTGGGCACAGGTGGGCGGAGCTAGTGGGCGCACTGCTGGGCACAGGTGGGCGGAACTTGCGGGTGGCACTGCTGGGCACCGATCATCAGGGCACTGATCATCAGTGCCCTGATGATCGGTGCCGATCCCCGCTCTGACAACTGCCGGTTCTCGGCAGTACTTTCCTCACGATCTGACAGCGTGAGGAAAGTGCAGCCGAGAACCGGCACTTGCATTTCCCTCTGATCAGCGTGTCATTGGACACCGCTGATCACGTGGTGAAAAGGCCGCTGTGATTGGCCTTTTAGCAGATCACGTGATCAGCTGTGTCCGTAGGACACAGCGATCACGGAGATCGCCGGGTGCGCGCCCCCTGGGGCGCGCAGGAGAGCGCGTTCTGGGAGGACGTCATATGACGTCCACTCAGAACTGGCCGGCCGCAGTGAAGCCGTCATTCGGCTATCTGCGGTCGGCAGGTAGTTAAATAGTGATAAACATGTCTAATATCTTCAGAAAGTACTCAAAATTCCTGGGGGGATGGGCATTAACATAAAACTTTTTGTTTTTACCATCATAAGCGACTCCAGGCTTAAACCGGCCATACACCGGTAGGTTTTCGAATGAAAAATTCTATCAGTACATTCATTAATGCCATCGGAGACTTGTCGAATATCTTCAGAAAGTACTCAAAATTCCTGGGGGGATGGGCATTAACATGAAACCTTTTGTTTTCACCATCATAGGCAGCTCCAGGTTTAAGCCGGCCATACACCTGTGAGATGGGGAAACAGCTCTCATTGTTTGAACACTGTTTGTGTGGAAGTAAATTAATGTTTTGACTGACATTCTGCGGTTTAGCCACAAGATGTCACTGTTTTTCTAACACAGGCTCAGACTGCATAGATATTTGTATATTTATGAAGAGGTGGGTTTTGCACTCAGAGTTGGAGTTTAGTGAACAGGAAGAGGAGACTGAAGCCATGTTTTGGATGATGCTGAATGAAGGGGCTGTGTGAGCTGAGAATCCGATGACATCCAGGTGTGAATGCGTCCCTCAGTAGCCAGACCTGCAGCCGAGTAGACCTGCAGCTGAGTGAAGCTGATGAGATTGCTGCCAGAAATGCTGATGAGATTGCTGCCAGGAAGTTGATGAGATTGCTCCCAGGAAGCTGATGTGATTGCTGCCAGGAATGCTGATGTGATTGCTGCCAGGAAGTTGATTAGATTGCTGCCAGGAAGCTGATGAGATTGCTGCCAGGAATGCTGATGAGATTGCTGCCAGGAATGCTGATGAGATTGCTGCCAGGAATGCTGATGAGATTGCTGCCAGGAAGTTGATGAGATTGCTGCCAGGAATGCTGATGAGATTACTGCCAGGAATGCTGAGGAGATTGCTGCCAGGAATGCTGATGAGATTGCTGCCAGGAAGGCTGATGAGATTGCTGCCAGATGAATGCTGATGAGATTGCTGCCAGGAAGGCTGATGAGAGCAGAGGAACTAAGCAACATATACGGCGAGACCTCATGCTTGTTGGAGAGACATTTGTTCTGTTCAAAGTCACCAGCGGATGCAAAGCAGACCCGGTCGGTAAGATCGTGCACGCACCTCATTTCAGTGTTGGCGCCTTGAGACTGAGTCCAGGCCTATAGTTAGTTAGGGTCTCTGTTTGTGTCAGGCCACAAGTGTTGTTATTTTGTAATATATAGTATTCCATTGGAGACTTGTCAAATATCTTCAGAAAGTACTCAAAATTCCCAGTGGGAATGGGCATTATCGTAAAACCTTTTGTTTTTACCATCATGGGCAGCTCCAGGTTTAAGCCGGACATACACCGGTAGGTTTTGGTATGAAAATCCCATCAGTACGTTTATTAATCCCATCGTAGACTTGCCTTCAAAAAGTACTCAAAATTCCAGTGCCTTTACCATACGATTTTGAAACGAATGGAATTTCCCAAATGAAAACCATAATCACCTATAAGAAATGTGTTCTTTCATGAAAAAATTTCCATCCTGCTCCTTTGAAGGTCCTCTGGCCAAAAAAAAGATCCTCAATTTGACCCCAAAAACAATTGCAAAATTTAAATATATTTTAAAAATATTCTTCCCAAATATACTGACACATATTTGAAATGCTACAATTTTGGCCGTATTCAATATATTTCAATACATATATATATATATATTTACTGCATGTTGAAATGCGTTTTTTATTACAAAATATATGAAAAATATTTTTAAAAATACATTTCAAATACACTTTATGTCTTTAAAAATACAAATCTAAATTTTTGGACCGCATTTACAAATATATGTAAAAATAAGGCAAAAATGACTTTTTTATATGTTAAAAAAAAATCTGAAGAATATATTCAAAAAAATATGTGTTTTTAAAAATATTTTTCATATATTTTGTAATATATAGTATGCCATCGGAGACTTGTCGAATATCTTCAGAAAGTACTCAAAATTCCCGGGGGAAATGGGCATTATCATAAAACCTTTTGTTTTTACCATCATGGGCGGCTCCAGGTTTAAGCCGGCCATGCAATCCAATCACAGGAAGCCTTGTATCCACTGATGAAAATACAAAGCTTCACATGATTGGCCGACTCTCTTCAATTCCAGCGCTTACTGTATGGAGCTAATGCAGCGCACAGAGCGGCCCCCATCGTTATGCAAAGGAAAGAATTCATTTGGGCCAGCTTGGTCTGAACAAACTATCTAAAGCACGTGTGTCAAACACAAGGCCAATGGGCCGAATCTGGCCCTCTAGGCCATTTCCTGTGGCCCTCACTGCTCTCCTGCAGCTGTTCCCCCCCCTCCTTGTCTCTTCCCAACCTTGTCTCAGACGTCACCCACAGAAATGAGGACAGAACTCCTCCGCAAGATCATGCACCTCTCTGTGCAGCTGTAAAGAGGTTCAACTTTGCCTCCCCCTCTTCTCAGCAGTCAGCAGCAGACAGAAGGACAAAACTCCTACAGATCCTCTCTGTTCACCCCCTCATCTCCGCCTCCCCTGGTCCCAGCATTCAGCAGACTACCGAAACTGACTCCAGCCCCTCTGGTTCTCCTCCAGATCCTGATTTTTCTGCTTCCCAGCTCCGGCCCCAGTCTCTTCCCCGCAGCAGCAACAAAGTAAGGGGGGTGCACTGTGATGTAAGGGAGGGTGGGGGACTCTTAACTTCTGATGGGGGGGTGTGGCCTTGACATCCGTTCTGGGACACCTAGTTTTACAGATACAACCAGCCTTTGTGGGCGAATATAATGCTGATGCGTGCCCCTGATGAAATTGCGTTTGACACCCCTGATCTAAAGTGGAATTCTACCGTAACCTCTTGGCGCCAGCCGAACGCAAATGTGCGGCCGTCCCGGTGTTTGGGCCTAGATGCCCAGCGGTTCGCACATTTGCATTCTATTAAAAAAACAGATAGGTGCTGAGAGAGCGCACCCCCACGTTCTCCTCCCGCACACACGTTCTGTATTCACGCGAAAGGTCCCGATCTCCTCTTTCAATCCGAACCTTTCCCGATCATGTGACCGTGACGTGACAGGCGTCCAGATGCCACCTGGGATGTTTGGAACCCTTAAAAGGCCGGGATGGCGCCAGCGCCAAGGGTTAACGTGTCCATCTACTGGTTTCGTTTTGGCTATCCCCTTTGGCCGTTACCCCCTCGCCCCTTTTTTCTGGTCCTAATGATACTGCACATGGGATTGGAGTAAAGGCAAATCTCCCTGAAGGTGACCCACAAAGGAGAGGACCCAAACAGAGGCTCTTTAGAGCTTCTAAGTAGTAAGTCGAAATATTTCGGTTTCACATTAACTTCTTTTGAACATATAACATGATGTAAAAATAAATCGTTTTCTATGACATATACGCTGTGTCTGAGCTCAAGCTCACCGCGCTATCACCTGGGAAAAAACCTTGTCACGCATCAATAGGCAGAACATGACGATTTATATTGTGCACAAGCTGATGATCTGTGGACCTTAGCTGAGTTTGGGAGTGGTCCTCAATTTTTAGTTTCCTCATCGTCTCAAAAAAATTTTTTTTCTAAATTAGCAATAAAATAAAGATATAATACTCATGGAGGACCACCACGTGTAAATACAGAGTAGTCCATGTAGTGGACTTGGTGTCAAGTTCTTCACTGCAGGTGAAGGGCCACAACCTTTGATCCTGTACCTTCAGTACAGAGGTGGTCCATGCAGTGGACTTGATGTCAAGTTCTTCACTGCAGGTGAAGGCCACAACCTTTGATCCTGTACCTTCAGTACAGAGGTGGTCCATGCAGTGGGGGCTTGGTGTCAACGTTCTTCACTTAGAGGTGAAGGACCAACAACTAGAGATGAGCGAATCGCAAACTGGCGAAGTGGAATTCGTTTCGAATATCAGGAAAAAATTCGATTCGCATCGAATCCCGAATTTTAGCAAACTTCGGACGTGCCCGAATCGAATTTTTCCCGAATCAGCCCGGCAAAAGTGTCACTGCAAACAGAGCTCCCGACTATTTCTGACAGTTCTGACAGTTCATTTACAAGCGGCTTGAAAAACATTGTATCTAGTTGTTTCCATTTAGGATTACAGATGTTTTTTATTCGGAACAAAATAATACAATGTTTTCAACCGCTGTAAATGTGAAAGAACTGTCAAGAACTGTCCCAAAATAGCGGAGCAGCTTCTCTGCAGATACACTTTTTGCTGTACTTGGAATTCTTCATTTTCTTCTTCTTCTTTTCTTCTTCTTCTTTTCATTCGTTCTTTTCATTCTTCATCTGCTTTTCATTCTTCTTCTTCTTCTTTTCATTCTTCTTCTTTTCATTTCTTTTCACCCCTTCTTTTCACTTTTCTTCTTCTTTTCATTCTTCTTCTTCTTCTTTTTCATTTCTTCTTCTTCTTCTTTTCATTCTTCTTTTCTTCTTTCATTCTTCTTTTCATTCTCTTCTTTTTTCATTTTTCAATTTCTTCTTTTCAGTCTTCTTTCTTTTCATTCTTCTTTTCATTCATTCTTCTTTTCATTCGTTCTTCCATCTTCTTCTCTTCCTTCTTCTTTTCATTCTTTCTTTTCATTCATTCTTCTTCTCTTTTTCATAGGACTTCTTCTTCTTCTTTTCATTCTTCATTTTTCATTCTGCATCTTCTTCTTTCATTCTCTTCGCTTCTTTTTCATTCTTCTTTTTCATTCTTCTTCTTTTCATTCTACTTTTCATTCTTTCAAAAAGCTTCTTCTTTTCATTCTCTTCTTCTTCCATTTCTTCTTTTCGTTTCAATTCTTCTTCTTCTTTTCGTCTTCTTCTTCTTTTTTTTTTCAGGCTTCTTCTTCGTCTTTTCATCTTCTTTTAATTCTTCTTATTCTTCTTCTTCTTCGTCGTTGCCCGGTTTGAACTGCCCCAAAAGATTGTGAACGGTGCGGCGGTGATTCTTAAGATGGACGGCACTCATAAATAAGCATGTCATACTGACTGACAGTATTATTTCTCTTCACCCAGCAAACTCCAAGGCCATTTAAATTAACGGTACAGTGTTCTTGCACACGAAATATAAAGCTCAAAAAAACTGAAGCCTAGAAACCCTTTTAATAAGTTAAATAACGCGGCGAATAAACTCGTCATCGAACGACATTTCTCAAACCGCAAATTCGTGCGAACCGCCAGCCGAATCGAATGTTTTGAATAATTCTCATCATCTCTAGGCCACAACCTTTGATCCTTGTACCTTCAAGTACAGAAGGTGGTCCATTGCAGTGGGCTTGGTGGCACAAGTTCTTTCATCAGGGGTGAAAGCCACACAACCATTGATCCTGTACCTTCAAACACAGACGGCAGCAGCTAAACAGACACACCACAAAAAATTTTTGCCCCTCACTTGAAGCCGGCAAACTCTGACATGACTCTGTATCACTTGGTGCACCGGTGAATGAAAAAGTAGGGCTTCCCACCTGTTAGCTTGGGGTCAAACATCACACAGGCGGAAAGCAAAAAATGTTCCATCACTTCTGTTCCAACGAGGAACACCCCTGTTGGACCTTAGCTGATTGGGACCCCGTCCCAATTTTAGTTTCCATCATCGAAAAAAATGTTTTTTTTTTGCCAAACCCCTCCCCTCCACCCCAATAATATTAAAAGACCACATAACGCAAAAAACAATCACAATCCAAAACCCCCACAGTTGTAAATACAAAGGTGGTCCATGTAGTGGGCTTGTTTCAAGTTCTTCACTTCAGGGTGATGAGGCCACACCCCTTTGGAATCCTGTACCTTCAGTACAAGAGGTGGGTCCATGTATGGGCTTGGTGTCCAATTATCACATCAGGGTGAAGGCCCACAACCCTTGATCCTGTTACCTTCAGCACAAAGAGGCACCAACACTTTGCCCTCTTTGAAGCTCGTGGCAAGCTCTGAACTGACTCCATATCACTTGGTGCCACACCAGTCAATGAACCAAGTAAGGGCGTCCCACCCTGTTAGCTAGGGGCTCATTCACACACGCAAGCTCTGCGTGTTCCCCCACATCCCCCGCCCACAAATCTATCTCATCCTTCCATCTCTTCACGCCCCTACACACCCTCTGGTTTAGCAC